ACAGCAAAGCCTGGCAAGCTGTCTGTGACGTATATGATATGCTAAACACAGTAACAACAAAGTCTCACGATGGAGACGTTATTGGGCGCGCTCGAGCAAATGGATGAACAATGGGAGGAAGTGACAGTGATTTAGCCTGAGCAGAGAAATTCACTGATGGATACTATTTCTAGAACTGAGTGAGAGTGACCAAATTCCTCATATGAAAAACTGAGATGACTATAGTGTCCAGAAACTAGATGAAACAAGACAGGGAATGCCTAGGTAGCCCCAGAGTGTCTTTCTTTCTAGTGTGGGAGAGTTTAAGGGGGCTTTTCGGCTCCTTGTTTCCAAGTGACTTCTCTGTCACTGATGCCATAGCACAGAGCATATAATATTTATGACTAGGCAGAAGACAGAATCAATTTTTAAAAAGAAATAAATTTTATTTTAGTTTAGAAGGCAAAGCATTCAAGCTATTCTTTGAATTAAAGTATTTTTAACTGACAGTCTGGAAAGATAGTCATAGGGCTGTGAGTAGGACCTTACATGCTGCAAAACTGGTTCAGTGCCTGGCATCCTATATTTTACCCCGAGCCTTCCTGAACAATTCCTGTGCACAGAGCCAGGAGCAACCCATGAGTACCACTGGGTGTGGCCCCAAAACAAAGCAAACACCCCCTGAGTGTATATCATTTTGGAGTCAAGGCCATGTAAGTGCAAGAGTGCATCCCAGCTAACCTGCCTCGTCCAGTCTTCCTGGGATTATGCGTCTTGTAAATGGAGGCAAAACTCAGTAGCTTCCAGCACTGCAGGGAGGATGATTAATCCTCAGTAATGGAAGATCTTCTCTGAGGAGCTGTGCAGTTCCCAGTCAGGAACTCCCCAAATGCAGTGACCTAAAACATTAAGCATTTATTATTGTATATGAGTCTCCTAAGCATCTCTTCATTCTGCTGATAGAGGTAAGTCTCTGCTGAGCTCAGTGAACTGGTTCATATGTCTGTGATCAACTGATTAGTCAGGAGGGCACTTGCTTGCAGGTCTAGTATGACCTTAGTTGCTTGTCCTGTGTTTGGTTAACAATTAACTTATGTTATGGGAATTTTTCTCACTCATCACTTAGCAATCTCGTCAGGGCTTTATTCTTGTGGTATCTGATCAGAATCAGTAGAGTAGAGGGCCTCTTGAGGCCTAGGTATAAGAGTTTATCTTCTATAATATGGTAATCAAAGTCACCCATCTATTCATTTATCAAGATGGGGAGGAAACATATTTACTATATTGTTTGGTGGAAAATGAAGCAGAGTTGTATGCCAAAAGTCATAAACATCAAAATGGAGAGTATACTGGTCATATTTATTGTATAACAGATGATGCTGAATAGATGGTAGTAATTGACATAGTATATATAGATAATGATTTTTGTGAAATGAATTAATGACCTTAAAGAACACCTTGCCCTTCAGCACTGTATGTTTCAATGTTACTTACAAATTTTAGCTGGAGTTACATTATTTGCTTGACACCATCAATAATAAAAGATTCCACATTCAATTGCAGTATACTTTCTCCAAAGTCAATAAATTAAACTGAAGAAATTACCTTTTTGGAATTCCCTGTGTGTGTTGTGTATGTATATGAGTATGTGAAGGGTTGAAAAGATTTCAAATCTATAAAAGGTTTAAAAAGTAGTTTTTATTAGAACCCCCACAAGCTTTCTGAAATAGAGAAGGCTTCTCCTCATTTCTGATCTTCATTTCGTATCATATATTTTCTGAGGACAGGTACTATACAAAAACATCTATGCAGATTATGTCAAAGGTCTAGAGATTGGAAATTGATGAGCTCCTGACAATGTATTTCCTATGTCACTCTTTTGATGGTATCCTCTAAAGAACATTTATTATTCTATAGAAAAAGACACTTCCAAAAAGATCATCTGACATTTCTAAAGGGACTTGCAGAAATTTTAACTTTTCCTTGTGGCAATTCGGTGAGGTCATTGAGAGGATTAGTCCTTCTCAACTTACAGATAAAGGTTTAGAAGCTGGAGGTACTCTTTAGTTTGTTGGAGATGTCAGTGGCTGAACTTGAATAAAACACCTCAAGGCCCAAGGCTCTGTCACTTCAGACCTGCATTTGTATTGACAGATGGAGGCCGACTGAGTGTTGGGTCTTAGATTCTAACCCTATAGCTCTCACCCAGCTGAGAGTTAGAACCTTAGACTGTACAGCAAAACTAGTTATTGACTCTAGGGTTGGGTTCTGAAGTGATTGTAAAATCCACTTTGTAGATTGTAACTGAAAAAGAGAAATGAAGTTGAATAAATGTAAATAGACTAGAACGGAGATTTTATTCATTTAGAAAATATCAATAGAATATTTTCTCTCCAAATATAGGGCTGCAATTTAAAGTTTTATTTCTTATGCTTGGCTGTGTTAAGAAATGTAAATCCAGCTACAGACATGTACTCTGTGTGCAAGAGACCTGACTTTGACCCTTGCCACCATGTTGTTTCTGAGTCTGACCAGCACCAACCCCTAAGTGTAGGGCTGAGTACAGCCACCGAGTGCCACAAACTGTGGCCCCAAATTAAAAATAAGTTTTTAATCTTTCCTTCTTTAGCTTAGCACTCTGGAAACTGAGGCTTAGAGACATAAAGTAACTGGACCTAGGTCACCCAGGGAAAAAAAATAAGATTTGGGCTTCCTAATTCTTTGGGGAAGGCATCATGGCAAAAATTAAAGAGAAGTCATTATGAGCAAATAGATGTTGGCTTCAATATTATATAACTCTTCTATAATGGTTGAAATATTTTTATCTTTGATTTGGGAAGCTGAGCTTGGAGAGGTTAATCCATAGTAGGGTCTACGATAGGAAGTAAATTAGATATTGACACAATGATAAATTAGATCTGGTTCATTTGGTAAATACATTTCAGTTCATGCTATTCTTTTCTTTTATTCTGAAAGAGCACAAGAATTCTACTCTTTGTGTCAAGGGGACACCCCAAGCAGTGATTAGGAAGACTCAGGGCAATTTTCAGTCAAATGAGAGTGACAAGGTTTGAGGACACATGCTACTCCAGCAATGTGTGCTGGGGATGCAAGATCAACTTAGGGTGCAGGACTGACTGCACCCAGCAAAGGTCAGGGGTCAATGTGTTGCTGCGAACTGAACTTAAGTAGGTACCTAACCATTACACTATACCCTTGTTTCTACTCTACTTTAAAATATGATTAATATGTAAAGTTGTGATTAAGCTTTGACATAAAAACCAAATAATTGGTTCATTGATTTTCAGCTTGTCCTATGTAAATGCTATTTAGATTACAAGGAAATATGCAGATATTATAATGGGTAAAAATAGGAAAAGAGAATAACGGAACAGTTATGTTGTAGAACAAACAAATTTAATAATTGTCTTTTCTGAATATGCCTCTTCTCAACTCGATAACAAAATCATGTAACATATTTGAAGAGGTAGAAACCACTTTGAGGTAAATATATTGAAAAGGACTCTTTCAAGGTTTAAATAAATGATATTTGAAGGATTAATATAATTTAGAAAGTCACACAAATAAGATGGCATCTTGAGAAATAGGAATGGTAAATGTAGAGAATTGGGGATATGGGCATATTCAAGTTGAGTTATGTGTAAATTTATATAAAGGAAGAAAACCCAGGGTCAATCTATGGAGTACCTGGAACTCAAGATTTGGAATTTCATTCTGCTAATGGGACCCCATGAGACTTTTTGTCAGAATATTGGCAAAATAGAACTGTGAAGAAATAGCACTGTCCTCCCATGTTCATCAATTTGCTCGAGCGAACTCCAGTAATGTCTCCATTGTGACACTTATTGTTACTGTTTTTGGCATATTAAACATGCCATGGGGAGCTTGCCAGGCTCTACCATGCAGGCAAGATACTGTCGGTAGCTTGCCGAGCTCTCCGAGAGAGACAGAGGAATCAAACCCAGGTTGGCTGTGTGCAAGGCCAATACCCTACCCACTGTGCTATCACTCTAGCCATTGGCAAAATGATAGACTATTTAAACAAAATTAATTTCCATTTTAGAAGAAACAGATAGTTTCTTGGAAGTAATATATTTGTAATATTTAATCCTATTAAATTATTCTAAGACATTATAAATATCACACAGATACACAGAAACACATACAGAGATAATTAACTCAGATTGAATAATTTAACTTTAGGTTCAGACTGATTAAGAATGCCTTTCACAGCTTTGGGGTAAGATGAATTTAAGATATCTCTCTCAAAGCATTAGACAAGAGGTGGATAAGAGATTAAGTTGTGAAATCAGTCAAGGAAAGAGGAATAATCCAAGTCATGACAGAGTCCAGAAAAATGGTTTCATTGGAGGATTGACCAGTGCCGAAATGAAACTGCAGGATAGTAACTAAGGCGCTTTGCAGAAATTGTTCCATCAGAAATGACTGATGTCCTTAGATGTATAAAATAATGACAAGTTGGAGGTTAATGTGGGTATATTATTATTGACAGCCTGAGAGAACAGCACAGAAAACAGATGACTTGTGATTATGACTCTTAACCCTAAAATTGTCAATAGCTTACCATAGAACACGTTGCTTTCTCTTTCTTGAGACCGTAGGTATTTTGATCTTACTATCTTCCAGAGTTATTCTTCCTGTTATTCTATCATTCCAAATTTTACCTTTCCTTCTTCTTAAACCAGACCACGGCCCAAAAGCATATCAGAAAGGAATTTTATTTCTACATGTACATACGTATATGTACAAATCAATTCTTATTTAAAGATTATTTCTGTTGTTTCTTTAAGTGACTTTATTGTCATTACATGATTGTTTTAAATCTGCTTTTTGAAAATATAATTATATTTTATCAAATGTGACTCTTGCTATATACAGGAAAACAATAGTAATACGAATTTTACTATTTTCTCAAATAGCCTATACAACTTGTCTACACGTTTTTACCCCCAGTGTTATTTTCATAAAGAAAGTCTCCCCAAAATATGGAACACTTCATGAATTTTCATGCTTTCATGTGCAGGGCCATGCTAATTTTCTCTCTATCATTCCAGTTTTAGTATATACCAGTTAGTGCTGCTGAACTGAGCACCTTTCTCCCAGTTTTATTGAGGTATAATTTAATAATAAAAAACATGCACTTTAACATGTTAAATATTTATGGCATTAAATTTTACTATTACATAAACGCTTTGATGTTTTGGTACACAGTTGTGAAATAATTATCACAATAAAGCTAATTATCATATCCATCATTTCAAAAGTTGAATTCCTAAAAGTAGAAAGTAGAATAGTGGTTGCTAGGAGCTCAGCGGAAGCTGGTTACAGGGAATACTTTTGCTATGACCCTATTTATATTTAATTATGCAATCTTCAAGTTTATACTTCCATACTTCTCATCTCACTGAATGATCTAATAATAGCTACTAGAGATTTTGAATATTATTAGTCATTTTTTCACCTCTCTATCCTCTTCTCCTTAGTATAAAATCACAATACTTTCAATATTCCTCAAATAGCATGTTTTACAGATTTTTATTTCTCACCATAGTTATCCTTTACAAAATATTTTTGTCTAGTTCTCCTTGCTCTTATTAGATTAGAACAATTCAAACAGAGCCCAGTGTTCCATGTATTGTTTTGACATTAGTCAGAAAGATCGTTTTGTCTGGGACATAGAATTCTACTTGGACTGCTAAGTACCTAAAAATCATGGAACTAATGATTTTATTTTGTTTGCTCGTTTGTTTGTGTTGGCCATGTTGGCTGTGTGCAAGGCAAACGCCCTACGTTTGTTTGGGCCACGGCAGAGCCTGGCAAGCTACCCGTGATGCATTCGATATGCCAAACAAAGTAACAACAAAGTCTCCAACGGAGACGTTACTGGGCCCGCTCGAGCAAATCGATGAACAACGGGAGGACCATGACCATGACCGTTTGTTTGGGTGCCATACCTAGCAGTACCCGGGGCTTTTCCCACAGGCATCTCTCCTGGCTGTGATTGCTCTGGGGACCATATGTAGTTCTGGAGCTAAAATTCTAATCAGCTATGCAGAAGGCAAACGCCATACCCATTATACTATCTCTCCAGCAACATAAATACTTTATTTTATATAGAAGTTTTATACCTGGACTGTTTTATTTGGCTCTATACACTTTCTGGTCCTTCTATCACTTGTTCTACAGAATCTTGATATGATTTACCTATTTTGTTTCTTCCTGCCTTGTCCAAGTAACATTTGTCTCCAGCATTGCCTCCATTGTTCTCACTATGGCAGAAATTTCAGCTTCTCCAGGACACAGATTACATCCCACTAGGATGATGGGAAGTTTGATTCATTTCTTCAAGGCTCACATAAAGTGTCATGACTTCTGACATGAGATCAAATGAGATGAGATGAAGCATGAGATCTGACTTCTCAATTTGGTTGTACAAAGGATCCAGAGTCACAAATATATCAAGGCATTGCTGCTTCATAGGAAAAAGTTGGCCAATGATGGGATATAGTGGAGTCAGTACATTTTTCCATTTCTCTTATTGGTTAGTTCTAAATAAAGTATATTAAATATGAAAACATAGGGCTTTTTAAGTGAATAAACAATAAATTTAGTTTTCTTGTGAAGCTTTGGACAGCATGGTATATAAAATTTTTAATTTTTTTCCTGCCTTTCCTGTATATAGAACCATTTTCTCAATTAACCTAATCTACTATTGCTATAAAACAGTTTCGTATAAGTTTGATCTTGAATTTTTTCTTTTAGAGAACTTGGAAAAGATATGAAATTCTGTAAATTATTCTACAAACATTTGTTAATGCTTTTATATATTCTAGGTAATGTTTTGAGAAGCTGTGAACTTACTTGAAAAGTTGATAGAAGTTTCATGGAGGGAAAGTAGTTTATGTGTTACTTATAAATCTTTGTTATATGATTTAGTACAATTGTACAATTAGGATTTAATAGATTACTGTGAAATTTTGCACTAGTATTTATGACATTTTACTTATTTAAAAGCTTTGGTTTGTGGGCATCACTTGTATCACTTGTCATCCTGTTGTTCATCCATTTGCTTGAGCGGGCGCCAGTAGCGTCTCCATTCGTCCCTGTCACTTGTTAGTGTAGCCCAATGGCGTATTGGGGGCTCTTTCAGGGTCAGAGAAATGAGGCCTGTTATTGTTACTGTGTTTTGCATATCGAATATGCCACAGGTAGCTTGCCAGGCTCTGCCGTGTGGGCAGTATTCTCTCAGTTTGTGGTCATATATATTGAATAGTGAAGATTCCATTTTAATAAATTTTATTTTTAATATATAGCAATCAACTATTTTCCAAGGATTGGGTATTGTTTACTTTTTTCTCACCTCTCTTATCTTTCTTTTTATATTTTTCCTTCTTTTGCTTTCCTCTCTCTTCTACTTCTTCCCTTTCTCTTCCTTTTCATCTCTACTACACATCTAAAACTTAGAAGAGCAAATCTGAATTTCAGACCTTTTGGAAAGGTTTCTGGAAGTGAAAAATTATTCCTGTTGATGCTCAGGGGACCATATGCGATGCTGTGCCTTGAACCACGGTCAACTGTGTGTACCGCAGGTGCCTACCTGCTGTCCTAGGGCTCTGATGCCTGAGATTGACTATTTTAATTAGTAAAGACAGCTTGTTCCTGCTTTGTTGGTTATTTAAGCATATTTTATTTTTCAAGGAAAGGGTACTTTTAAGTGATGCTCAGAAGGCTCAGTGGTTCAAGGCGAGGAATGTGGTACAATGGGGGCCTCCAGGACGGTTCCGAAGAGTGATGGGGGATGATGCATTAGGATCAAGGGATTATAGTGCATAGAATAGAACTAGGGTCTAGTGCATTCCAAGTCTAGAATTAACTCCTGTACTATGGCTCCTGTACAGTTGAACATTTCTTTCAAATGTTTATTAAACATTTTCTGTGTGCAAAATATACATTTATATCTATCAAATCTTAGAATTTTTCTTATTAACTATGAAATAAGATTCTTCTGTTATATTTGTCATAAGTATTTCCTTAGTTTGAAGTTTACTTATCATGAATGACTTTACAAACATGTCAGACGTTTTAAAGTCTTCTTTTTATTATATTTTTACATCAGACTTTCAATTTTATCTCATCTGCAAGTTATAAAATTGATACCTTATCAAAAGTCATTGATTTTAAGAGAAAAGACACTAAAACAAAACAAAACAAAGATCGAACCCAATCAGACAAAAGTTAGAATCTTGGCAATTCAGGGACCCAACTCGAGACTGACATTTGTCTGCTAACAAATTTAATTTAGTAATTTATCATTCACAAATGCCTTGCTCTCTTTTCCACAAAAGAAATATTTTGAGAAACTGCACCCCTATGAGTTACATGTCTTACTGACACATAATTCCCATGATGATTTCTTAGCAGCTCCCTCATGTCTATGCAAAGGGATGTGACTAGACTTGGACAGATTGTGTGTAAAAACAACAACAACAAGGTGACAGTTCTTGGAAAACAGGACTTGTGCCCTCTGTTTCCATTATTTTTCCTTAATAAGGTAAAGGTAAAGGTAAAGGCCCTCCCGTTGATCGTCGATTTGCTCGAGCGGGCCCAGTAACGTCTCCATTGGAGACTTTGTTGTTACTGTGTCTGGCATATCGAATACTCTCGGTAGCTTGCCGGGCTCTCCGAGAGGGGCGGAGGAATCGAACTCGGGTCGGCCACGTTGGCCGCTTGTAAGGCGAACGCCCTACCGCTGTGCTATCGCTCCAGCCCTTCCTTAATAAATGTGATATTATTTTTGCAAATGGGTAGCAAAATGACATATGTATGTTCTAGATTTTAAATTCCTTTCGTCTATTTTAATTTTAATATATTGTTATTGAAGGCAAAGCTTGTAACAATAAGTAAGTTTCAGGTATACAGCACTGCAACTCTGTATCTGTAGTACTGTGTCTACATCATCCTAGAAATGGCCCAGGGAAAGTACATAGAGGCTAATGTTCTGGCCTGACATACAGCAGATTTCTTTTTGATTCCTGCTATGACCCCATATGGTTCCCTCATCATTGCCAAGAGTGGTCCTGAACTCAGAGCCAAGAAAACTAAGAGCAGAGAAGAGTAGACAACACCCGTGTCTTCTAAAATATTATTCCTATCATCAGACACTTTCTCCTTTTTACCCCCCAACCTCCCTGTCTGCTTCCCCCGTGGAACCAACTTCTCTGTATCTATGTTTGCTTTTATCTTGTTTCTCTTTATTTCCCACCAGCGAAGTTATGTAGTATTTGTATTTTCTGAGTTATTTCACCGAATAATATCTTCTAGATCTGCCCATATCGTCATAAATGGTAAGATTTATTCCATTTTATACACATATTTCATTTTCTTCATCCATTACCTGTCAATGCCTACTTAGGTTGTTTCTGAATCTTTGCTAATTTATAAGTAAGTCTGAACTTATAGGAACTAAATTTTATAGAGAAATTTGAAACAAAATTTACACAAAAATGTATGTACAATCATTCAATACGGGAAGCAGAATTTCACTGTTAGCAAAGTTAGCTCACAATGTTTCTGTAACCCTCTCTAAATCCTAGAAGATTCCTCTGGTGTAAGAGATTAATTTAGATGATGCCATGCTGCATTATTATAGCTTAGGATATGATAATTCTCTCTCATACTTGCTTTATTTCATGCTGTTTCTTCCTTTTAAATGTACTAAACCTTGATAGAAAATATTAAAACAATTAAGAGTGGTTTTGCTTTCTTTAATTCTTAATACCTATAATAAATACTGTTTTTTTATGCTCTGGTATTTATAATTTCTGTTTTTCTTACTAGCACGATTTCCTTCATTCCTTTCTCTTTTCATTCCCACAAAGATAAACCCAAGTAGCATGAAATCAGTCTTCAGTGTGTGGGGACAAATGTGGGTCGTGGATATGTGAGGTATTTTTTTAATTTTTAATTTTTTTTAAGTTTTTATTATTGAAATTGTGCCATGTGGGTACAGTTGTACACTTCTTACAAACTTTCTTGCTTGGGTTTCAGTTATACAATGATCGAGTACCCATCCCTCCACCAG